GACAAGAGTTGTTGAAAACCGAATGTCTGGTTTGATGTGATTAAGTTGGGTTGCAAGCTTAATCACGAACTCCTAAATGAGTTTCAGAAATAAACTCAGAGCGAGTTAAAACTCTGTGAAAGAGTTGTTGGAACCGAAAATTTTGATGAAAGGATCCTTTGGGATTTGATTAACTGATCGTTGATCAGTTCCTTGATCTTCAAAAGATCTCCTTCGTGTCGTTGAACTGCTGAGCTTTGTTGACCTTAGGCGGTTTTGATGCCAGCTCCCCTCAACCCTATGCGATTTTTCTGCTAGAAACCGATCAACCTCTTACTCTGTTGAGTAAGTCGGTTATTTATAGGGGGATTAGGGGTGTAACCAACCCCTAAATCCGCTCCTAAGTGGGCGAAGATCCCTCAGAACGTGGGATAACGGTTTTGAGGCCGTTCGGTTTGAACAAGTCAAAATGCCTCAGTTGGCGTTCTGGGCTTTAACTCTGCGTCCAAGGCTTGAGACGCAGAGTTAAATCTCTGTTAGAGATTTGAGACGCACAGGCCGCATGCGTTCTGGAATTGGAAACGCACAGGTCGCTGGTGCGTTGAAGTTCAACTCTGCGTCCAGAGTTTGGGGCACATAGTTGAGCCTGTTGAAGAACGCACGTTATGTGTGCGTTTAGTGCTTTAACTCTGCGTTGCAGAGTTAGATATTTGCTGGAGAACGCACAAGTTGTGTGCGTTTCGCAGAATTGACCTTCTGCATTTAATAAAGGTTGTTGACTTGTAACCTCGTCTATTATGACATTGCAAAGGCCATTGCTTATTGATCTTTGCCTGTTATAGGATATGAGAGTCGTCAGATTGTAACTCTCACCATCGATTGTGAAGGCCACTGAATAGGGTTTTCATCAGCTACCGGAAGTGCCGTCGAATTGTAACTCTTCTCGATCTGTGTGAAAAATCTCCTATTTGCCCCCTTTCGACTGTCGACCCGAAAGCTATTTGATTGTAGCTTTCGTTGTGAGAGCTTGACGGGAATCAACATCCATAGTGTTTTGAAGATGAATATTTGCCCACAGCTCTCTACCAAGCAACTCACTAACTAAGTCTAACCTTTTATTTCTGAAATCATTACACTGCTCATCAGCATCTCTAATAGTTGCTAATATAATATTAGTCATGCTGTTGTCGCAGCCATCAAGATCAATCATCTCAGGGATGATGCTGTGTTTATAGCGGTTGCAGAGTTGCGGATGCAGTGATTAGAAAGTCGTCTGATTGTAACTTCCATTATCAGGGCTTGATAGGGATCGGCTATCTATTGTGATTTTTAGACAGCCTACAGAACCCCCTCCAAAGTTTTCGAAAGTTCGCGGTTGACTGAGACGAATTTTCGGAATACTTTGGACCCCAAAATTTAGAAGACATTGTCAGACTTGGTTAATTGTAATTTAATTGTACTCATCCAATGGACTCTTCAGTGGAGTCACATGTTTCTTCTTGGCTTTAGTCGCCTTGATGGCTGACATTAACCTCCCTCTATTTATTTGGAACCATGTCTTGGCTATAAACATAGAGGAATTCGTCTGATTGAATTAGAACGCACAGATAGATTTCTTGCGTTATCGAACCGAAACGCAGGGTTAAATTCTGCGTTTAAGAATTCCATTAACGCAGACGCACAGACGGATTATAACGCAGAGCTGAACTCTGCGTTCAGAAGCTCAAGCATCACAGGCGCACAGGCCACATTTGTATAACGCAGAGCTGAACTCTGCGTTCAGAAGCTCAAGCATCACAGGCGCACAGGCCACATTTGGCGGGTATTTGGGCCTATGATCCCGACCCGATTTGACAGCTCATAGCTGTCTATAAATAGACCACTAAGGGTCAAATCAAAAGTCACCCGACTTTTTGCCTCCTCTCTTTCGGAAGATTTTTAACGAAGCCTCTTCGTTTTTCACCTCCGGTGACCCTGCTCGTCTTCTCCGACCGTCTTCCATGGGTTCCAAGAAAAAGGCTGCTCCTCGCCCAAGATCTCCTGCTGCAGCAGCGCCGCCGTTTCAGGTTCCACCCGTCGGTGGTAAGTGTCGCCCTTCTTGGCCGTCAAACTTGCTTCGGCAAGTTCTTTAAAACCTTGGATGTATTGTCGTTAAACTTGCTTCGGCGAGTTCTCTGGAAAAAAAAAATCCTAGATGGGTTCTTGTAAACGAGAAAGATGACTCGTTTTGTTATTGTAACGCAGAGTTAAGACTCTGCGTTTTGAATTCGAAACGTTAGGGGCCCGACCCTAGCGTTTATGAAATTTTAACGCCAGATTTGAACTGTGCGTTAGATAACTTAACGCAGAGTTTGACCTCTGTGTTGATGAAAATTAACGCCAGGTTTGAACTGTGCGTTCGAAAACTTAACGCAGAGTTTGACCTCTGCGTTGATGAAAATTAACGCCAGGTCTGAACTGTGCGTTCGAAAACTTAACGCAGAGTTTGACCTCTGCGTTGATGAAAATTAAACGCCAGATCTGAACTGTGCGTTTGATAATTCTTTTTCTTATGGGCTCAAATAAAATTCCCTTCATTTGACTTATTGAAGATTTCTTTCTTTTGCAGTGCCTTACGCCCGCGAACCTCTCAATCTTCGTCACCACTTTGGGCATGGGGGAGGTGCGGACTTTAATATGCAATTCAATCTGCGTCAAGAACTCCCAATATTCCAAGACACCGACAAAGATCGTGTCACCCTGATCTCAGATCCAAATACAGATGTACTCAGGGTTTTAGTTACGGACGCTAAGTTTGAGACTGGGTCTCGCAAGAAACTCGGCAAGCCAGCTTTCTTATTTGGGGATCGCGTCACTATCTCAAAGGAGATCGTACACGGCGGTCACTACAAGTGGCTTAGGCAGATCGGAGACCGTCGCTTCTTCCTCCCTGACATGCACAGGATGTTTCCCATCTCCTACTACCAATGTGCTTCTGTTCACCGTCACATGAATTGGGACTTAGTGAGAGAGCAAGATGGGGTAGTTGTTGGGGTTCTGACTCACAAGGGTGTGAATACCGCTGGTTATAATCGACAAGTGTCGGCCTTGGAACCTTGCTTATTCTCACGGGGATATCCTTTAGGAGAAACAGCTAGCCCAGCTAACACCTTCATGCGACGATTTTTGGCCGCCAAAGGAGAATTCCCAACTGCAGTATTCCGAGCTCCTGGATGGGTACATTCCTCCAAGGCAGGATGGTGGGCACGAATGATAGAATTCATGTTGGCAGAATTAAAGGAACCATTAGCTCAATCTGGGCTTGCTTGCCCTATTATGGCTACTAAATATGGAATCGCTCTTAGTCCATATAACTTCTTCGCCATTCTGGAGCGGTACAATCCAGAGACTTGTACGTTTTTCACACCAGAAGGAGAATTAGGGTTCGCCCTGCATGAGATGTTTGATGTCTCAGGTCTTCCTTTTGGAGACCTGTCATATGAAGAGTTTATTCCCGGATCAACTGAGCTGAAGATCTTGAAGGAGACTATCCCCGAGGTATATGACACTCTATGGGAGGTGATGTGTCATTTCCAAATCTGCGGCCAACTGACAGGGGCACGCGGACGTGGTATCAAACAGCTATCCTGGGCCGAGTATCTTTTCCAAAATTTGTCTGACAAGAATGCCGCTGTGTCTCGTCGGGAGGCGAGCACCCCTGAGACCATCCAGGCTCTGATCAATGACGCCACCGTTCACTATGTCAGCGAGGGAATAGAAGATGACTTCCCAGCACAGACTGAATTCGAGAGCTTCCATCACCAGGCAGCCACTCCCATTTCTAACATGGCTTTGTTGGCGGGGTTCCTCATGCTGTGGCTCAAGCGGTGTGTGGTTCCTACCAGGCCAATAGATGCAGTGATGATAGAAGTAGCTTATCCCGCTATCCTCTTAGCACATGGGAGACCCATAAATCTACTTTCCGCCATGACGTGTTGTTTGCAACACGGTTTGAGGGAACTATGCCTCGAGTTTATTCAAGTGAAGGAGATAGATTCTGAAGGAACGAAAAGCTTGGTGACCCCGAATCCTCGAGTACCCTTGTCGTATACTTATCTAATGGCTTGGTACGTCTCCCATTGTGTACATTTGATGAGTGCTCGCTCTGCTACGGATGAAGGCTTTGTCCCTTTCGTGCAGAGATTAGAAAAAGCTACTTGGATAGGCACTTACGTAGTGAAGGTCCGTCAGATTCTGTCGAGAGACCTCAGCTACGACATCTTCCGCTGCTTCCCGGATTTTGAGGGTGGAGGATATGGACAGGTCTTCCAAGATACCGCTGGTCCTAATGGTTTTACCCGTTTGGACGGGGGAGTTTTCCATTGGCTGTTAAATATTAGACCTGGTTATCTCCTCTTCAGGCAAAATGACAAATGTATAATTGAGCCTTATCAACCGTATCGCTTTGCTCGCCAATTCGGATACGACCAACTATACGTTGGGAATCCGAGGAGCCAGCTTTCAGTTATGGGCAACATATACGAAGGAGCTCGAGCCTGGTATTATTCCACCGCAGGTTGCACTGGGGCTACTTTCAGATTACCCCACAAAACACCTAATTCTCTTCTCTCCGTGGCTTTCTGTAACTGGTATCATACAGCTTCTACGATGCCGGATTACAAATTGTACACTTCAGGCCTTCGTGCGATTAGGAAGATGTATTCTTCTCGGAAAGGAGGTGGTCGTGTATCTCGTCTGAAGGGGATCAACGAGTTTTTACATTTTGAGGATGCAGCTGAGGAAGGAGAAGAAGAACTGGGACTAGAGAGTGCCCCGGTAGCGAGCCCTAAGGCTGTTGAAACTTCGAGAGCCAAAGCAACTGGAAAGAGGGCTCTCTCTGAAGCAGAAGAAGCCCAATACGAGAAACTGAAGCTTCGAGAGCCAAAGCAATTGGAAAGAGGGCTCTTTCTGAAGCAGAAGAAGCTCACTACGAGAAACGTACTCGTAGAAAGCTGCTGGTAGATCCTCCTGCTCAGAAGTTCATGGCGGGTGCTTTCAAATCTTCCAGTGGAAGGGAAGAGCAAGAATCAGCTGTTGCAAGTCGCCCTGATCGTGTTGATCCTCACTCTGGGGGATCCACCTTTTCTGAAGAATTTTTTCCTCACTGTCCCTTGGATCAGGTAGAAGGTGGAGATGAGTTCCCAAGTGGGGATATGGGGGTTTATTCTGCAACGGATCCTGATATCTCACCATTTCCAGATCAGGCTCCTGGTGCTGCTGCTTCACCTGCAAGGGTACCGCCTGCAACGTCTCCATCTGAAGGGGATAAACTGCATACAGATGAACTGGCGACAGATAAGCTTGCTAATCTTAATGAGGGTCAGTCTCCCACCTCCTCTGTACTATTGCCACATTCGGGGACTATTATTCCTAGTCCCACGACTGGCCGACTGACTCAAGTGGATACACACGCGAGCTCTCCTGAACTTTCAACTGCTGACGATGACGAACCGTTGGACTATGGGAGCTCGTCTCACCATGAAGATGCTGATGAGGATGAAAGCGATGATGATAATTTTTATGCTTGGGCGGATCAACCACCACCACCTTCTGACAAGGCGTCTGGTTATCTTCCTTTTTACCCTACTGGTAGAAATTACACCCTTTGATTTTTCTGGTGTTTCTTTCTTTTACATTAACTGTTCTTTTGTGTAGGTTCTCCAACTACTGAAGCTGCTGGGACGTCATCGTCTCTCCCTTCGCAAGCAACAGACGCTCCTCCCTCCGAGTCAATGCCGGTGACAACGAGCTCTTTACCAGAGGAACCTCTTTCGCTGACGATTCCTCTTAAACCTGTGGGGACAGAGATTGTGCTAAGCTCAACCCAAACAGGGGTACTTATGGCTCTACCTTCCAGTCCCTCACAATTGGATATCACCATAGCTTCTCCCACTTCTTCACGATCATCACCGATTGCTTCTGCATCAGGGTCTATGCTTTTAAGTTCCCCACCGTCATCTCCGGTGAAGACGCTAAGTCCAGTGGCCCTTCCCTCCATCCTAAAGGTTCTTATAAGACCATTGGAAGATATGATGAAGATAGCGATTGAGGAAATCAGTGCTGGACGAGCTACGTTTGATTCTTTCAAACCACTACTCACGCACTCCCTGAATGGCATTCGATATTTGGATGACGCTCGATTGTTCCAACATTGCTCTGAAGGCGTCTCTCGGTTGGAAAAAGATCTGAGGGCTTTGGAAGAATTGCATCGAGCTGATCTTATTCCAAGAGGCCATCACTGATAGAGAGCTTGAGATTGCATCCTTACAGGGGCAATGCATGCAGAAGCAACATGTTGTGGACGCTTCTGGAGTTGCCATACAGACATCCCGTGCAGAAATTGATCGTCTCAAGGTGGAGTTGGCTCGACACGAAGCTGAACTTGCGCGGGAGGAAGAGATATTGAAAAAGCTCACACTAGAAAGTGTGAAGACTTATGCCACTTACCGTTCAGCGGTGCAGGAGCTTGAACTTATCCAGAAGCAGGCTAATGCGATTGTGCTGGATGAAAGCACCCTTAGGAAGAAAGCCGAAGTGATGGTACAGGCCGCTCACGAAGAAAAGCTATCTGCTATTAAATCCCGGCTCGTGTATTTCACTTTTACTGAGGCTTAATCATGTTGTGTTCTTTTTGTTTGATAAGAACATGGTTTTTGTATCACTCTTCAATATTTTTGATGATAATATAAAAGAGTGATTCTGGTTTATCTCTTCTCATTGCATGTGTCGTGTTCTGACTTGCAACAATGCAACTATATGGAAAACGCCCAATTCTTTAAAATTTCCCTTACAATCATCTAAGATAATTCTGGAAAAATTTTAACTTGTTTGGGGGAAATGAACACTAGTTATTCCTTTGTATAAGAATTAACTAGTTCAAACAGGTTTGGACTGTTAGAGGTGGTCTGTTAACATAACAGAGATTTGGGAATCTATCGATCTATTGGGAATAGTCAATAGATTAATTTTTGTAAGTGGTATGATTTTACTCTGACATGAGAGCAATCGCAATCAGGGTAATTTGAGGGTTTATCACTCTATTAGGGAGAGTTGATAAGTGGATTCTTGTCAGAGGTGTAGTGTTAACGTGACAAGAAGAATATTGCTATGGAAGCAATTTTGAGGACTTATCGCTCTATTGAAGAGAGTCGATAAGTGGATTTTTGTCAGAGGTGTAGTGTTAACGTGACAAGAAGAATATTGCTATGGAAGCAATTTTGAGGACTTATCGCTCTATTGAAGAGAGTCGATAAGTGGATTTTTGTCAGAGGTGTAGTGTTAACGTGACAAGAAGAATATTGCTATGGAAGCAATTTTGAGGACTTATCGCTCTATTGAAGAGAGTCGATAAGTGGATTTTTGTCAGAGGTGTAGTGTTAACGTGACAAGAAGAATATTGCTATGGAAGCAATTTTGAGGACTTATCGCTCTATTGAAGAGAGTCGATAAGTGGATTTTTGTCAGAGGTGTAGTGTTAACGTGACAAGAAGAATATTGCTATGGAAGCAATTTTGAGGACTTATCGCTCTATTGAAGAGAGTCGATAAGTGGATTTTTGTCAGAGGTGTAGTGTTAACGTGACAAGAAGAATATTGCTATGGAAGCAATTTTGAGGACTTATCGCTCTATTGAAGAGAGTCGATAAGTGGATTTTTATCAGAGGTGTAGTGTTAACGTGACATTTGTGGGGGAAAGAATATTGCAGCGTCTCACTAGGGAGGACTGCTAAATATCTTATCATCGGAGCGATGAATTGTGATACTTGTGATTCGAACAAGATTTTGAGAATTTTATCACTCTATTAAGGAGAGCTGATAAATTGAATATTTACTACTCTGTTAGGGAGAGTTAGTAAATTGATCATGATTTGAATGATTTTGGATACCTATGTTCCCTCGATGAGAATCAATAAGTGGATTTTGACAGAGGAATTATTGTTACAACGATGTAAACTAAATTCAAGCTCTGTGGGGGATGACATCCGTCTGAGGTGTAATATTAACCTGACGATGATTTAAACCCTGCTGAGGAAATACCAAGGTGGATCCTTCGTTTAGGATAATTGCATCACAAAAGAGGCGACCTTTACGTTTGAGGTTCGAAACGCAGAGTTAAGAACCATTGCAACGCAGATCTAGACCTAGCGTTTGAAGAATTTGAACGCAGAGGTAACTCTGCGTTAAAGTCTAACCGACTTTATCCGTTAACGTGGAAAATCACGTTTTAGATTCGGTCGGGATTCTCTCTTAGAGTCCCGATCTGATTTAACAGCCCGACGGCTGTTATAAATAGGCCTGTAAGGTCACATCAAGAGTTATTTGACTCTTTTTGCCTTGCTTAGTTCCAAGAACGAGATTTCTCGTTTTAATTTCGGTTGATTCTCCGACGAACTCTATCTTCTACGACTAACCATCCGCATGGCGCCCAGGAGGATGAGTGCGGGTTCCAAGAAGTCTGGCAAGGTGGCTGTGGAGGCGTCACCGACCGAGAGCACCGGCGATGTTGCCGTTCTGACAAGCGCTTCAGCGTTGATGTCGCTGTCACATGGGCCTCGATGCTGTGGTAAGCGGTGGCCATGTCAACTTGTTTCAACAAGTTTTCTGGAAACCCTAGATGGGTTCTCTTCAACGAGGAAGATGACTCGTTCTCTATCAGAAACGCAGTGTCACGGCTCTGTGTTACAAATTGGAAATGCAGACTTAAGACTGCGTTTAAGAAACATAGAGTTAAAACAAATTGGGAACGCAGAGTTTAGGACTCTGTGTTAAAAATTGGAAACGCAGACTTTAGATTGCGTTTAAGAAACATAGAGTTAATTCTCTATGTTAAAATTGCGAACGCAGAGTCAGGACTCTGTGTTTAAATTGAAAACGCAGGCTTGAAGCTCTACGTTCAAGTGTTGTAATGCAGGATTTGATCTCTGCGTTCAAGTGTTGTAACGCAGGATTTGATCTCTGCGTTCAAGTATTAATACAAGGGTTGGCTCTTGTATTAAAGCTTACCACGTAGAATTTACTCTTCGTGTTTATTTCATGTTAGCACCCTCTCTCTGCTACTAACTATTGCTTCTGATTTTACAGTACTTTTTCCCAATGTGCCACTTCAGCCGGAGCAGCATTTCAACTACACTGATGATCCCGAAGTGGGGAGAGCTTTTGGTCTTCGCAGAGAAATTTCTTTATGCACATTCCCAAGTTTGGAACGAACACATTTAATTAGGTTTGCTGAGTGTTCCACCCTTAGGGCTTTGATCACCGATCTGGATCTGGAAACTCCTGCGGGTTTGGATCAATTTGTCAAACCCTCATTTTTATTCGGTGACCATATATCTGCCGATGGACAAGTCGGGTATGTAGAAGACTCCAGGATGCTGCGCAGAGTCGATGATCGTTTATTCTTCCTTCTAAGCATGAAGAGAATGTACCCGCTTTCCTACTTCCTGAGTGTTAGTGGTCGCAGGGGCTTGGCCTTCGATCTCGTCAAGGAGAAAGAGAACATCTCATTTGGATCTGGTCGATCCTCTCGTGTTCAGATTGGCGGACGACTCAAAGGTCTGAGACCTGGTTGTTTTGAGAAAAAGGGCTTCGCTCAGGAGACCCCTCTTCCAGCGAACATTTTCATGCGCCAGTTTATTGCTGCCCGAGGCGAATTTCCTACACAAGCCTTCCGTTCTCCTTGCTGGTTATTCTCCGGAGAGGATGGCTGGTGGACTCAGATGGTAGATTTTGTTCTTGAGGAGCTCAAAGAACCTCTTGCTCAGTCTGGCCTTACTATACCAGTACAGGCTACTAGATGTGGGATCACTCAAAGTTATCCCTGCTTCTTCGCTATGCTGGAGCGGTATAATATGGATAGCTGCACCTTTTTCACACCTGTTGGGGAGTTAGGATTTGCTCTCCATGAAATGCATGCAATATCAGGGCTATCCTTCGGGCAAACGCCTTATGAAGAATTTATTCCCACTACCGAGGAACTCTCCCTCCTGAAGACTGTTCATCCAGAGATATACAGCACTTTTTGGGAGTTGCTGTGTCATTTCCACATCTGTGCTCAGGTCACCGGGATGCGTGGGGGTGGCCTCATGCATACTGCTTGGGCAGATTACTTATTCCAGAACTTGGGTCAGAAGGGTTTGAAGGTGACCCGTCTCGCTGTAAGCTCTGCTAGGAGTATCAAAGCTCGCATCAAAACTCCTAACGCCATTTATAGGAACACGTGCTTGGAAGATGGATTTGAAGCTGACAGTGAATTCGAAAGTTTTCATCATCAAGCCGCAATTCCTATCTCTGAAACAGCCCTCCTTGCTGGTTTCTTGATGCTATGGTTGAAGCGGTGTGTCGTGCCGACGAAGCCAGCTGAATCAATCTTGGTGGAGGTCGTCTACCCAGCCGTTCTCCTGGCTCACGGAAGACCTCTAGATCTTCTTTCTGTAATGACAGGTTGCTTGCAGAGAGGCTTGCGGGATTTGATCTCTGAACTCCTTGATGTCAAGGAGATGAATGTTGCCGGAAGGAAAGTTTGGAAAACTTCCCAACCTCGCACACCAATGCCCTACACTTATTTAGTAGCTTGGTTTGTGCTGCATTGTCCCTCCTTGATGCGGGGGATTATACATAATAATGAGACCTCCATTCCTTTCGTGCAATGGCTTGAGCCAGCCACATGGACGACTGTATACATAGTCCGGGCTAGGCAACTTTTATCTTCGGAAGCCAGTTATGATCTCTTTTGCTGTCGCCCTTGCTTTGATGGGGTCGAAGAAGAAGTTCCAAAGTTTGGTGACGTAGTCTTTGAAGGGTCTTCACTGTTAAATACAGGAACCTTCCAATGGCTTCTCTCTATCAGAGTGGGTTACCTGGTTTTCAGAATAGGTGAAAGATGCATAATTGAGCCTTACGTTCCTTCACATTTTGCTCGACAGTTCGGGTATGACCAGCTTTATGTTGGTAACCCTAATCCACAATTAGCTCACATCGGGAATCTGTATGAAGGAGCTCGTGCTTGGCATTTCTTTATTGCTCGAGGAACTCATGCGCAGTTTACTCTGCCTAATTTGCCACCTAATTGTTCCACCGTAGCGGATTTCCGTAATTGGTTTGATAAAGCTTCTCTAATCCCAGAATATGACATTTATACTTCATGTATAAACAAAATCTGAGAACTTTATAAATCAAGAAGTGGTTCCGGCAGGACTCGACTACCAGGGATAGAGGATTATCTGCCCTGCGAGCGAGAGGCGTCG